ATGGCTTGGTTATTATTCCAGACAAAATGATTTCTTTTGTCTCCAAAAAGATTGACTGGAAAATTAGGTTCCAATCTTTTGTTAATTTTTATGTAACTGATTTACCATGTGCAATTTCTTTAAGTGCAGAACTTGATTTGTGGGAAAGGTACTGGCTTCTGGAAAATATTTGCTTGCCAGATAACATTTCGAGTACTTTAAAAAGTACTCGGAGATTAAATTTTACAAATAAAATGTGTTAACCATTTAGTGTTTTTTATCCTTCTCAATAAACCAAGTTATATTTTTATATATTAGTATATATATATATATATATATATATATATATATATATAATATATATATATATATATATATATATATATAATTTAATTTATTCTGAATAATGTTATAAATTTTGTCTAATTTAGTTTTATATATATATATATATATATATATATATATATATATATATATATATATATATATATATATATATATATATATATATATATGAACTAGTGAAAAGTGAGCTAGGGCACATAATTAAAATTGAATTAAATTTATAAAGATAATAAAACTTCACGAAAAAAATAAAATAACAACTAAATAAAATAAATAATCCTTTTAAATAAATAAATAAAACTATAAAAATAAAATAATTATTTTTTTAATTTAAAAATTGTTAAATTATACAAAGTTTCTATTCAAAGAAGATCTTAAAGATACTGAATGAAGTGAAGTTTTATAATCTTTATAAATTTAAACATATCTAATTTTTATTGTATTCTTTTTTTCTCTTTATCTTGAGTTTTACCTGTCAATTGTTAATCGAAACTGGTACCCTTATGTACTATATCTTTGATATTTTAATTAGAAGCATTATATACATTATCTATTATATACTTTTTCTCCTTTTTTTTAGCTCTACTTTGAGATTCTTCCTTGTATGGTTATTCGAGTTGAAATATGGTTTTAATTTAGTAAGCTTTCATTATTTGAAGTTTACTTTATTGATCATTAGTCAACAGTTCAGAGAAAATAAATACATGCAACACATTAACGGTAAGCATAACTTTGTTTATTAACATTAATATTACAATTGTTTAACATTATATAACATGTCTATCAATGAAATAGAATAACAAAATGGGTTTTTATGGTTAGTTATCATATTATTGCTATTGTGTTATTGCATTTCTCATAGTATGATAATTTTTTTATAATCATGGTACTAATGTTATTGCAGTAGTTTTCTTTTACAAAGTTGTTCTATTTGCATGACACCTGGCTATACAAACCTTGGCGATTTAAATAATGATTTGTTATACTTCATACAAATGTATTATTTATGGAACGCAATAATAATGTCCACAAAATATTTTAATACCACACTCAATATTTTATTTTTGTACATTTAATGGATCCTTGCTAGTTTTAATAATATATGTATATAACTTTATTATATTATTGCTATATCTTTAACTATATCTTCAAGTGCAAAGCATTATTTGATCGTATAATAACTTGTGAAAAGCAGAGAGCACTTTTCACTTGGTACTTTTTAAATTAAAAAACTGCATACCTAGAAAAAAATGTTTTAATATTTTATTATAAATTAATTTTATATTAAATTAATCTTACTGTGTATTAAATTTGTAATTTGGCAATATGGTAGCTATTATATAGTATGTTTTTACTTAGTTTGTTGTCTCTATTTTTAAAATATGCGACATCATTTGAGCCTATTTTGAAGGCTTTGTAAATAACTTATTTATTAAAGAAATGCCTTTATATGTAGATAGTAGATATGTAGATAGGTAGATGCCTTTTTTTAAACTCCGTTAGTATTTCACTTTCATTCCCCCCTCGTCCTTCCGTGGGAGGGTGGCGGTGAAATCCGCAACCGACTTTTTTGACTAACCTCTTTAAAAAGCTAAACCCGCCCCTGTATATATATATATATATATATATATATATATATATATATATATATATATATATATATATATATATATATATATATATATATATATATATATATATACATATATATATATACATATATATATATATATATATACATATATATATATATATATATATACATATATATATATATATATATATATATATATATATATATATATATATATATATATATACATATATATATATATATATATATATATATATATATATATATAATATATATATATATATATATATATATGTATATATATGTATATATATTTATACATATGTATACATATATATACATATATATATATATATATATATATATATATATATATATATATATATATATATATATATATATATATATATGTATATATATGTATATATATATACATATGTATACATATATATACATATATATATATATATATATATATATATATATATATATATATATATATATATATATAATATATATATATATATATATATATATATATATATATATATATATATATATATATATGCATGCATGTATATACAATTATACTTATAATTTTAACAGTAGTTATGGGACTGCCTAAAAGCTTATCAAAAGAAAAATGCAAGTTCTGAGATTTCTATCAAATCGTATAATGAGTAGCGTTTAACCGTCAAAGTTCCTTTTCAGAAAATTTCACAAGATTCGTAAAAAAACTAAGCAGTTGAAAAAAACATTTTTATTTTTAAATATGTGTATAATTTGTATTAATATTTTAACGCCATTATATAAAGTACTATAAAATTTTTTATTTTTTTTGGTTATTATTAAGTTCACTTGATTTTCCGAAGATATAAGTTCTTTCATTAATCAGCATAAAAACCAATTTTTGTTTATCACAAAAAATATTTATTCAAGCTTATTTGGGAAAAAAAAATCAAAGTAATAGTTTCAATGAACATTGCGTAAGAAATAGTAATCATGTGCTTACCTTTTGAGTGAAATTTTTAAAGACATATAATGATATTACGTTGGACCGTTAGAATGCGACGCTCGCCCAACGTCGCCAAACGTTAGAATGCGACGTTCGCCCAACGTCGGAGGTCGACGTTGGGCCAACGTTAGCCCAATAATTGCCTGCGACGTCGCGCCGACTTCCAAATCCACGTTAAGGCGATGTCAGTTGCCGACCATCGGCCAACGAATTTTTCGACGTTGATCCGACATTGGGCCAACCTCTGTGTGCTATCGTGATTTGCTGAAATTGAAAAACTTTGTCAAAAAATATGCGCAGAACTAATATTTGAGGAGCTTCCAAACTTATGCTTGAGGAGAAATGGAACATATTGCCAATGTGATATCCTCAATTTTTTCACAGCAAATTTCCAATACATGTTCAGCTTCTACGAAACAAATGAATTCTTTTGCACGTGGTTCAATAACAACTCCAATTTCTAATATAGAAAACATCCGTTGCATGCTCAAATTCAGATTTTATAATACCGGGCTATAATTTGATTTCATTCGCAATAGATCACGAAGGTGTATATGGAAATAATGATACATTTATTTCCAATTATAGTGCAATATTAAACGTATAAATTTGGAATATTAACTAATTATTTTGATATTTATGTTCTAAAATAATTAGTACAAAACATAATTATTAGAAACTAGTCGAAGGAAAGGAGGGGAAAAAAAACTTGTTTCAAAATAAAAAAATCCCCCTCACTTTATTTGATCCAACTTTAAATATTTTTAATTTTCTATCCTGGTATACCATGCAAGCTCTAGCTCAATAAGCGACATTAGTAAGGCAGGAGGCGTGAGCTAGTTAAATGATTTTCCGCGGTACTCTAAGACCGTAAGGAGTTAAAGAAAACAGTGTTTGAGAAACCATTTTCCATTTTGCTACTCTCCAAAATTAAAAGAGAATAAAACTTTTGAAAAAGATTTCTCAAAAATAATTATAAAAATAACAGCATATTTATAAGTTGAACTTATCAATTCGCCATCATTTGAAATCTTAATACAAGAAGCTAAATATAGAAATAACAGAAAGATTTATAGTAATGAGGTTTTATAGTTTTGGCATGAACAGATTGTCTTAACAAGTTTAAAAATATTACTAATAAACTTATAAGTGAAAAATGGAAACTATTGCTTTTTTCTTGTTGTATTAACAATACAAAAGTAACAACTAGTTATATCCATAATAACAATTAAGTTAAATTTTATATTAAAAATTATTTAAATCATTGTGTATTTCACCATAAAAAAAAAAAAAAAAAAAAAAAAAAAGATTACAAAATTAGTTATTATAAAATGTAAATACACGGTTGGGGCAAGAAATCAAATTCAGTCTTATCGCCATGCCCAATTTAATAAAGAAGCCTTAAACATTCATCATTTAGAAGTGAATAAAGAACTTCAATATCGCATGTATTTATGAAGATACCATTATACCAATAATAATAATGCTATGTGGCAATGATAACAATAATGACAACAAAATTATTGAACATAAAAACAATCAAAATATTGATAACATTGTTAATAACGAGGTTGGGAGTGCTTAACTTATTTTTTAATACTTTTCAAAACTAAACAGGAGATTTTTCAAAATTTTAGGACTTTTCAAATTGAATTTTTTCAAATTTTTCAGTTGAAATATTTTTTCTATAAATGAACAGATGGATCCATTTATAATAACAGTTAAGATGGTATAAGTTTATGTAAAAAAAAAAAAAAAAAAAAATGAAAGAGAATGTTTTATGAAAAATGTGATTAATATTCGTTTTTGGTTTCTTTACAATTTTTAATAAATCTTTATAAACCAAAATTTTTCGTTTTTAAATAAATTCTATCTACATATAAAAAAAGCACTTTATAAATATAAATATTGGCGGACATTTTAAATATTAGAATCGGCAAATGCAGATGATGAAAAACACTGCACAAAAAATGTAACAAATTTTAAAATCTTTTGTTAGCAATAATATAAAACTTTGCATGATACCACATCTCCGTAATTTAACATTTATATTTCTGTATTATTAGATTCAAAATGAACATTTAGGTGAAATAGGTAAAATGCTATTTTGATGTGCGAACTCAGTGGATACTAAGAAGTCAAAACTCAAATGATAGGTGCATTTCCTTAAACTGGCATTGGTTCATTAAGCTCGCTGTCGAGAAACGATGAAACAAATCTTCAACCATATTTAAGTCTTATACAAAAAGTTCAGTTTAAAAGAAACTCAGAAATTCCAAGCACAAAATAATAAAAAAAAAAAGTAAAGCTTGTTTTCACAAAGTAACTTTAATGGAATTAGCAAAGAAAAAATCTCTAACTTAAGGCAATAAGAAATGTAACAACAATCAAGATGATTGACTAACAAAGATGGTTGACTATTTCAAACAGCTGCTACCTAGATGACTGAATATTGCAAATAATATCTGCACATATCCTGTTGGCTCTAGACGATTTCTACAGAAACACAATTTTGTTTATAACTAAACATGGCATATAAAAAAACAGCCGAAAAATCTGTAAAGTTGTTTACAGAATCAAATCCTTGAACTTCCACATTAACTTCCAATTATTTAAGATATTATTTCACAGTTTTTTCTAAGTACTTTTCCATAAAATTGCGGTTCTGTCGGCAGATGAAGATAAGAATACGTCATCCTTGGGATGCCAGCGGCATTGAATAACTTTGTCAGAGTGTTTACCAACAACGTAATGACGGGGTACAGTCATTTCGTTATATGATGAAGTCAAATGTGTTATTGAAATGTTACTATCATACGATGCGGTTAATAAATATTTGCTATTGATTGAAAAACGAATACTTCTACAGTCCGTTTGATGGAGGCGAAAGTTTTGAAGTGTCCGACCAGCAGATAAGTCGTATAATAAAATGCTGCCATCTTCTTGACCTAAATATAAAATTTTTGTAACCTTAAAGAACTGCAAAAGTTAATAATTTTAAGAATTTTTAGTAAACAAAAAAACAAAAAACAACAAAACCTGAAGCCATATAATGATCAGATCCGTTTAAAGCAACTGACGCCGGAACACTATCCCCAACAACAACTACGTCAATACAACGCTGTGAACGTAAATCCCAAAGTCGTAGAGTGTTATCTGAGCCACCTGAAGCAATAACGTCCCCGTCACCAGCATAAACGGTCATAACGTTTCCAGAATGACCACTTAAAATCCCAGTCACTTGTTGTGTTAACACGTCAGTAATATTGATGTTTCCATCACCTAAAGTTACAAAAGCTTTAGTAACCTATCAACACACTTTAACATTATGAGCATCAAATCCTAATTTTGTTACCTGCACCACCTGATATAAGTAAACCAGCCCTATTAGGAACAAAAGCCAATTCACGAACTGTTCCATTGTGTATATTAAGCTCAACGTCATCACCTGATTGTGTACAATTATAACCATCAAACTGAAACAATTTGATGCTTTTATCGTTAGATCCAGTAGCAAGTAATTTACCATCAGGACTCCATGCCATACAGTATATTGAACCGCGATGGTATTTTTGTCTTTTTATTAAAACTGGTGCCGGTGGACAAGTGCTGAAAAATAAACTTTTATAATTAATAAAAATGAATCTTTAACAAATTAGAAAGTATACACAAAGTTTTTAAAATAAATCAGAAAGCACCTTTTTGAGTCATTTGAATTTATCATTTTACAAATACGCAGAATTTTAGAATTAGCTCCGACGGCATAGAACGCACCGTCTGGATGAAAGGCTACTGAACGAACGGCTTGGCTATCCTCAAGTAGCGAAACTGCAGAATACTTTTTTATTTCATCATCCACATTTCTACCGTTATAATCACGCTGGCTATCGATTTGATAACGATCGTGATACTTATTCGTATCATCTTGTTGTTGCTGACGAGAATCTCTTTTCTCGTAAACGTCAGTTGCATTGAGTTGTCTTTTTAAATCTATATAGATCATTACTCTAATTAACAATACTTTTTTTTATGTACAACAAATAAAACACGTTTGAACAAAAATATTATTGAATGTTTCAACAAAGTTACACCTTCTTTGTTAGGCTTTATAAGTTCAATCAAATGCACAGCGTTCCCATCTTTGGTTTTAATTTTTGGTCCAGCTCCTTTTAACTTCAGAGCAGCGGCTTGTTGGGGTATTCGCTCTTTCATCGACGTTTCGTCAGCTAAATTGAAAGTCCTATATGCTTATAAGCTTAATAAAACATTGAATTAACATAATTAAAATCCAGCAATAAATACTTTGTGTAAAACAATACTCGCCATGAAATAATTATATTTTTGAAAATAAAAATAAAAAACACTTTACATATTTACGCACTGAAAACACATACGTAAGCTTTGAGCGTCTGAATAGGATAGTGAACTGATGTGGTTAGAAGATATAGGGCGTCTTACTCCGTTAATTACTGGTCCTAAAACCACTCCATCACCCCCTGGATTATTTTCTTTACCCTGTATGAGTAAAACTTAATTATTAACATATAATTCATTTCAATATTCAAATTAATAAATATTAGTCGAACAACATAATTTTATAAACAAATAAAAAAAATTACCATCGTGTATTTTAATTAAATAAGTTAATGTTAACTAAATAAAAATACAATTAAAAAAAAAACGAAGGTCGGAAAGTGCAAACGAAAGGTTAAAAACATTCTCAACCAAATGTTTGTTCTATCATTACTAAGAGCAAACAATCAAAACAACTTCGTTCCGTTAAAGCCGACAAACCTATTCAAACAAAGATATGAAACGCTAATCACACACAACAATAAAATTTCAACGTTAAAAACGCACTAACTATTCAACCTGAACGTGACACTACGTTCGCTAAACAAATTCGAGAATTAAAGGCTCACTGAACACTGTTACCTTGATTTTTAAGTTTGATGCAGCTCCGTAATGAATCATAATGCATGCAAATAATGAACGTGCAAAAATGATCAAGAATAAAATTAGGAATCCTAATACTGCATCAGGTGAAGGTGGAATATGAATTGAAAGGATTGAAACATAGCTAACTAAAGATTTGATTTAAGACGTTCGGGTTAGTGTTCAAGAAAGCGTGAATTCTGTTTAGAAGCAGCAAGCGACGCAATCGATAGAGCGTAAAATCAATTGCAATTTATAAAACATTATTTAAAATCAATCAACCGTAACAACCTTTTATTTTCATATTGTTCTTAAAATTAAGCCGGAGAGAAATAATTTTTCCGTCATTTAAAACAATAATAATAACTAGAAAAGTAAAAACAATAAACATTAATAAAACTATAATTAAACTGCAAAAATGACTTAAAATAAAAGAACGCGCAAAAAGATTTTAAAAAACAACCTCGTCTTGTTCAAATATTAGCCTTCCTTCAAAGCTGTCACTTTTTGATCTTTCCTTTACGGGCGAAATTAATAAAGGTGGCGGTGTATCAACATCTGATTTACGCTTTGATTTTGGAGTGCTAAAAAAAAAAGAAAAAAATACTTTAATTTTGCTGAGGTTACTCGCTTCTTTTTACTGATTTATTTGCAGAGAATTACTTCGGTGATGTTTAGTCGAATGGGGTTGGGAGGGAAGGAAAGAGGAGGGTTTTATAAGATTTTTACGTACAGCTACAACATTAAAAATACTTAAAATTTTAACTTACTAGAATTACTAGTTATCATTAAAAAAGAAAACATTTAAAACTGCGACGATTTGGTAATTTAAAAGCAAATATAAGTCTTTGTTAAATATTTTTAACATTTTATTAAACTTTTTTCTTGTTGCATCAATCAACTGTTGCAAAATATATCTTTGAATTGCAAATAGTTTAATAACATACTAAAGTTACTTAACTAAATTTGAAAAAAAAAAGAGTCAGAAAAAAAATTAGGTGTTTTTTCATTTTTAAAGCTCTAGCACTGATACTTACTGTATGTTCTCTGGATTTCTTATAGAAAGGTTTTTTTTTTTTAAGTTGATTTAGTTGCCCCAAGAAGTCCTTACGATCTTATCACAGAGCACCGCGGAAAAGCATTTAATAGGAAGTTCACGCCTCCTTCCCAACCGATGTCGCAAAACTTGCCAAGAGGTGGGGTTTGAACCAAGGGTCTTACGCTTCTGAGGCAAGTGCGCTACCACTGCGCCACGGCTGCTTTAAAAAAGTTAAAAAAGTTGACAACATCATCAACTGTATGCTTTCGTCTTGACCATCTTGAATCAGAAAGTCGTTTCAGTGTTGTCAACAGCCTACTGTTGATTTATATAGATATTTCTAGTACTCTTAGAGAATATGAAGTTGTGGTAAACTTAATGAACGTACTCTTAAGAGGGGACGTTTAATAATTTTTTTTTTTTAATTTCCCTATCTCCCCCAACCATATTTAGACCCGACTCCTCTCCCCCATTTATTAATTTTTATTTGTTATCAACAATAAAACAACTCTCAAAACTAAATAAAAATAATAATGAGAAAATATCAGTCTTTGAACTTTCAGTGTAATTAGGCTTTTTAAATCACCAACCTTTAAAAAATCTTGTAAACTTTTATTTGTCAAAAATTAGGCTTTCGTTTATTTCTTACCATAGTATAAAACTAAGTATCTTAGGGCACAAATCCATACTATCCATGAGAGTTGTACTGTACTCCACTAAGTGTTCTCTGGTCTAAGTGTCAATACAGAGGTCTGTGGCAATTGTCCACAGACCTCTGTATTGACACTGAGACCAGTGTCAATACAGAGGTCTATACCAATGTAAATACAGATCAGATGCCCTGAGAAAAGTCCTTATGGGATAACACAAAGGGATACTCTAACAAAAAGATACCCTGGTGTACACCCAGAGTGGATCCTCTTGTGGGATACCTGTCACCTATCTCTGATGAAAGCTGGAAGTTCTTGGGTTTATATTGTACCATAAGACACGAATACATACCATGAAACACATATCTATAATGTATGTTTATCTCGCTAATAGTACAGACCACATGGTAACTACTTATAAAACAAATAATTTTGCTTCATCACTGACACTTTTTATGTATCACATTTACACTCTACACTAACAACTTTGATTCTACGTTAAAACTTTTAACACAACAATTCTTACATTCTCTTACTTTCCTTGACTATTTTATTTCTGTTTATATTTATTACATTTTACTCTAAATAATTTTTAGTGCTTTTTTTCTTAGAGTCTCTTTGTTGCCCTATGGACATCTGTCCTTTTGTACTTTTATCTCACTCTGCTACACTTTTTGTAACTTATTAGTCATCTCTATCATCAAAGCGTTCACTGCTTGGTTTAGCTTCACTAAAATGCATTGCATTTACAAAAAGCATAACATCTGTTAAAAAAATGCACTTTTGACCCCGAGCCACACTAGAATTAAATTGTTTTATTCATGTTCTGTAAAAAATTCTCACCTGCACTTTTATTAAGACTCCCATTTATTAGATCTGGACTAAAATTCCTACCCCTCCTATTATCCCCCCCCCCCCCCAACTAATTGTATTAGCTCAAGAGTATTATGAACATACCAAAGTCTGATATTCAAACCTAATACTGGGTATTATATATTATTAGTTTCGGTTGCTAAGATATTTTTTCTACAGGTTTTGTTAAAGTTTGTACATTATTTGGTAGATATCTATAATACAAAGATGTTAATATAAAAAATCATGTCTTTATTTTCTTTTTTTCTTAAGACTGCATTTAAGGTCCCATGTTTTTATTTACAATTACAATCTCCCTGACAATGTTACTTCTAAAGTAGCTTTGTTTTATTTTATGATACAACCATGTATTCCAGTCTTGATAAAAAGCTATCTTTTGATAGCTTATAACAGGCCAATATTGAATACAATCATTTCTCTGCGACAGCTCTTTATGTTTACATTCATAAAACTTATAACTTTCAAAGACTTGTCACAATTTTTCTTGCTCTTAATCTTTCTATTCTGTTTCACTTCCAAATAAATTGGGTTTGAGTATTGCTGAAAATAAATTTGTTTAATAAATTTATTGTAATTGAAATCATAAAAAAACTAAAGTTAGAAATTTCTTTTATAAAGTTGTCGACTTCAACATATGCCAGCTCACAAGAATCATGCCAACTCACAAGACTTTATTTTTTGAGAAATTTTATTGACATTTTTAACCAAATTAATAGAAATCTAAATAAATAAAGAAGCCCTCTCAATCTCAAATTTTGATTGAACTTGGAGAATAAATTTGTTGAGATTAAAAATTCGATAAATTCACCTTTTAAAAAATTTAACTAGTACTAACAAGTCTCAAAATAATTGAACCAAAATTAATTTTAAACAATTTTATGAATGTTTAATTACTAATTTACCAAAAACTTTTGAATTTATAATTTAAATCTATCATTTTAAAATCACTACAACCTATGATTGATTCAATTGTAAGTTGGTTCAGGTTAATTTTATTTCGAAGTCAATTGATTCTTCTTGCAGAATCAATCTACTTTACTAAACTGAAGAAAATGTAAAGATCATGGATATGATGTAAGTGCAAGATTTAACTAGGGGATTCACCCATACTGTAGTTATTGCCACAGCCTTGGTCGCAGAATTTCAGCAAAACAATATGTAAAAAATAACTTATATCTAAAATAAATTTATATAATCTGTTATATACTAATGAAGCCATTTAAGCCAAGTTAATGGCAAGAAGAGTTGTTCAGCACATTTTTATGAGTAAATGTGGCCACATATTTAATTAATGTAAATTTAAAAATAAGTAAATGTTAAAGTTTATTTTAAGGTTTCCAGTTTTACTTTTCAAGTATTTTACAACTAAGTTAAGTTTGTGTGAGTAAAATACAATATGTATAAATAATATCAAAAGAATTATAGAATTGTTTTGTTTTGTATTTATAAAAAAAAAAAGTTTCAAAAAATATATAAATAGTACATACTTTTTGTAATTTTTCTATTTTTAAAGTTACAAGTTTTTTTAACATGCTTAGTTTTTAGAAACATGTTCTATTTTGTAGATGATGAATTTAAACTTTAACAGGCTGTTTAAATTAATGAATGTAGCAATGACCTTATTTAAAATGTAAGTAAATTTTAATTTTTGTTAGTTTTATATAACTTTATGTAACATAAAATACATTTATATGTTCGATTATGTTTCATATGTTATTTTAGGTTAGATTTTAGAAAGCTTATTAAAGTTACTTGTAACAACTATTTATAAACTTTGCATATGCTTTTTTTATTATTATCTATTTTAACTTCTTTTTTTGTTTTAAATGTTTTAAACTGAACAGAAATATTTTGTGTTTTTATTAGTGTTAAAGCTCACACAAATCTTAGGCTTTAATTTATAATTTATCTTTATTTTTAGTTTAATAGTTTTTATTTATCTTAATAATATGAAGTTATACAGTTACTTATGCAGTATTTTAAAATAAAATTTGTTTGATTAGTTGCTAAGTTGTTGTTAAGTTGCAGTTTGTATTTTTCTGTTTAGATATGAAGATAATGACGACATTTAGCTGTCAAGAATGTTACATTTTAAATGCATTAAAATTGTTTAAATCAATATTTTAGATAAAATTACAAATGAGAAGTTTTAATTTAATGATATAAATAAAATAATAATTTATTATTTATTACCAAAGATTTGTTGCTCATTTTAAGTTGAGTTTTAATATTTTATTTATTTCAAATAAAGACATCATCAGTAAGTTTATTGTTCTTTTTATCAACTATTAGCGACTTTTTAAATTTTATTCAAGTTTTTATTTTCATTTTTAGTTAAGCTGAATCATGATTCTAATGAGTCTTACTGTGACTAATATCACTTACAGTAACTAACAGCTAAGATCCTTATCATAGAGTTCAGATATTTTAACTTTTTACTAAAGATATTTATATTTTTTTACTTCCTTTTATACACATTAGAAAAAAGACTTATTATAAATATTACAAAAAATTATTAAGAATAATTGTCTGTGTCACTACAGATATTTACAATATTAAATTACATAAAGAAATTAGGGTTATGTTGGTTTGATCTTTCTTAATAGTGTATTTAACTCTATATATTTTTTTTATTTTTCATCAACAGTTATTGTTTTTATATAGAAGTATTATATATTTAATATTAAGTTTTCTTACATTTAATTTATTTAAAATCAACTTTTGTTCTTTAGTTTTATCTTTATTATCTCGAGACGGCAGGGTTATCTTTTAACTAGAAAGATCATGTCATTTTTTTATCATTGTTATTTTGTTTCTGCGGTTCTACCATTAGTTTACATAGTCTACTGTTAAAATTTTTTAATTTGGTAAATTTTAACTACTTGAAATTTAAAATAATGACCATTAGTTAATAGTTTAAAAAAAAGTTTTTTTAGTCCTTATTATTATGTTTTTGTTACTTAGCAAAATAATTTATTGTCCTTCAGTATTTCATTATTTTTTTAATTTGATACCAGTCAAT